AAACTTTCCTCAATATTTCTATAGTTTCAATGCTATGCAAAGAATTCAATATAACGTTATGTGTAGTAAAGTGTTTGAAGGCTTTACTTTTGATAAGAATCAGAAAAATGATTACATATATAATTATCGCAACAAAAGTTTCAATGAAAATATTTTAACCATAACTCACATTAAACTAAATTTTCAATTCATTTACACGTTTAGTTGTCTATGAGATGAGCCGACACTTAATGTTCGTTTACGGGACTCTCAAAAGAGGTAAACGTTTTGTTTAATTAATAATTACATAGAATAGTGAGAACACCTGTTGCTAATTATATCCAGTTGGTTTAGTGATGGAGTACTTACTATCCCTCTTTCCTTAGCGTCTTAAACATCCTTTCCCAGTTTGTCACCTATTCACCGGCGAACAGTAGAGTAGGTTCATATTGTATGGTATAGATAAGAATAAAAAGGATTTCGGAAAAGTAATCTTCATTTGACTACTTGTTTATTATGTTTCTATTGAACAATATGTTGCCATATGTTTTGATATACTGTATGATTCATCAAAAAGTTTCAACAAAAATATATTTATCAAAAGTATTGGTATTAATGAAAAATTAATATTTTTGAAGAGAATTTGCGGAGAGATATATTCAGTTGACGATAAAATGAGAGACTTTTTGGATGACTTCGAGTCACATCCGTCTTATTACAGACGAATCGAAACTACTGTCATATTAGAAGACGGATCACAAATGAATCCATGGATTTATTTCCTATTAGACTTCAAACCAGAACTTTTAGATTTAGTCACTTATGAAGACTATAACAGTTATGGAGACCACGGCTTACCATATGTCGAAAGGTCTGAAAGAAAGCATACAAATGATGGATCGGTTAGGTCAACCAAATCACTACCTCATGAATGATAGGGAGAAAGGAATCGCAGAATTTGTAGGAAAGGGTCAAACAGTGGATAAGTGGCCGCTTGTCATCTCATCCAAGTATAACATACCATATCTATTAAATAAAAAGGATTTCGGAAAAGTAATCTTCATTTTACTACTAGTTTATATTATGTTTCTATTGAACAATATGTTGCCGTATGTTTGATACACTGTATGATTCATCAAAATGTTTAAACAAAAATATGTGTATCAAAAGTATTGGTATTAATGAAAATTAATATTTTTGAAGAGAATTTGCGGAGAGATATATTCAGTTGACGATAAAATGAGAGACTTTTTGGATGATTTCGAGTCACATCCGTCTTATTACAGACGAATCGAAACTACTGTCATATTAGAAGACGGATCACAAATGAATCCATGGATGTATTTCCTATTAGACTTCAAACCAGAACTTTTAGATTTAGTCACTTATGAAGACTATAACAGTTATGGAGACCACGGCTTACCATATGTCGAAAGGTCTGAAAGAAAGCATACAAATGATGGATCGGAAGAGAAATATGATGTTATTTCTGAAATTAAATTGTCTTTATAGTGAACAGACATCGAGTATTGACGACATGAATGGGTGAAAGTATGTGTTAAGCCTTTGATCCTAATTCCGTCACAAATACCACCGCTTTTTGGGTCACTTTTGTTGTCAAAACTTTTATGTTTTAAATTCTCTAATTTTATCCTATTTTCGCTTAAATGTGTTAAATATTAGTGGAAAACAAAATATTTTTTCAATGATTTATGTCGACTATTAAAATAAAATTCTTAAAACCCATGAAAATACATAAATTACTTAATATTTTTGCATAAAATTACTAAAAATAAGTATTTGAAACACATTTTGGAAAACAACTGATTTTATTAGTGGAAGGGATGCTTAGGATTTGGATTTTGTATATGTTTTTCAAGTAAATCTACAAATTTGTTTAAAAATATGTTTGACTACAAGAGAACTTCAAAACTATAAGTGATGTTCATATCATATACCGTATATTCTATACATATTATTATATTATATATATTAAAAACATATACTCTTTTCTATCATTTATTCATCAGAAAAATTCCAAAAAAAGAAATTAATTTTCTATTTAAGTTAATTATAATCACATTTAAATATAAATAACGCAAAAATGTTAGAAATAAATTATTTTGATTATTACATTTGAGTTTGAATCGTAAGCTATGTTATCACAAAATGTATTTCAACTCATTTGTTGTTTCGTTAACTAAACATACAATTAATACTAATTATAAATACAATATATACTGTATATTCAATTATGGTTTTGAAGCTCTCGTTGTTTAGTATGTCTTAAATAATTAATTGAAAATAATATAAATATAAACACTAGCGATCACAGTAAACAGTAAACAGTAAAAACAAATCGTTTGTTAAAACAATATAAAAAGCATTAAAAGCTTATTATAAAACGCGTTAAAAGGCTCATAAAATCAATGATAATCAGGTGGAGAGTGTGGCCAACAATAGCCGCTCCTCTTCTGATAGATCTAAACCACTCTTTAGAGTTCGTCTCACTGTTGGCACACAAAGCAATGGATTAGTGATTAGCAATAATTGGCAAACAATATGTTTATTCAATACATGATTTCTTGTCCCCATATCTCGCTTTTCTCCTATTCCTCTGTTCATTACGAATGGGTTGAGTAGTATTGCGGACCAGACTTTCCAGAATCTCATCGTCCGCTTCACTATAGGCCTCAATGTTGACGCTGTGTCTGAAGTGGACGGGAGGTCTGGATTGGGTTGTGTTTAGATTAGACAGATTAGTCATCGATCCACTCGATGGACGTCTGAGTTTAGTGCCCGGAAGTGCTCCCCATTTGGTCGGCCGTCCGCCACAACCCTCTGACTCATAATCACTTCCGCTGATCAATAGCTGTTTCAGTTCGTGATCCGCCTCTTGCTCTTTGGTCTTCACTTTATCCGACTGTCAAACAAACACAACAATAAATACTTATCACAATATTATTGCATATTTCTATGCAAAACAAGAATTGGTTACTTCGGTAATGAGTTTGCCTTTGGCTTTATTCCTCTCCCTTTGATTGGCTTTCTTCTCGATCTGTTCTCTCACTCTTTCACGAGTGGTTCTGTACTCTAAAGCAAATTCGCTGATAATCTTTAGTATAGAATTGGGTTTCGTTTCCTTCAACTGATGTGAAGGAAGACCCAAAAAGACGAGAAATTTTTTAAATCTATTGATAACTCTTCTGTGAATAATTCCCAAAACAATGATACGTTCGGCACAATCGGCCAAAAACTCAGACATTCGCACTTTCATAGGTGTTTGGCCGTCGTGTTTGGCGATCACCTTCAGGTGTTCCCACGAAGCCTTACAATCCATTTCCATCTTATGAAGGCTTTTAGACACTTCGTCGAAGTCCTTCTTTGACGCTCGAGACACGGCTCCCAATTCTGTGTATAAATCACTGGTTTTTGGATACTTTTCAATAACCATATGACACAAGTGGTGAAGAAGTGAGTGTTTATAAACAGTGTCCTTCACTTCGGGAACTTTTGCCAAATAATCGATTTGAAAGCCTTTCGCTTCGACACCATTGAGAAAGTTTCCGATTGAGAGCAAAGTTCCCAAAATAAGTCGAAATGTTTCGCACTTTTCGAGTTCAGCCGTCGCCTGTTTGAGATCCATCAACGGTTCCGCCACTTCTCTCTCCATCGTGTCGTAGTCGAGCCGAAAGGCCCACAATCGCAGTCTAGCCTCCAATGCGCTGATCGACGCCAGTGTCAGGAGAAACGATTCGGCGGAACCTAACGGCACGTCTGGGTTAGCCATCTGTGCCTCAAGTATTTTGGTCTTCTCCTCTTCGGTGGGCATCATTGTTGACAATATCTTATCGATACCCTCTCTGTTCATTATAGTGGAGTCCATCTTAAGTATAGCAGTCTTCACAGTTCGAGGCGGAGGCAGTTTTGTCATCCCTATGTTGATAGCATTGGACCGCTTCGTGTCCAACACAACCGTCTCATTCTTTTTGCCCGATTCTTGAGCTTTCTATTCGACAATTCATTTCAATTTTCGTTTTAGTTTTCAATTATATGTATTTTTATCAAACAAAACAAATTCACACAAAGTCTTACCTCCTGTTCGAGCGATTCATTCAATTATATAAATGTTAGATAAGTTGAAGCAAAGAAAATAAAAGAATATATTAAGTGTTGAACCAAATGACCAAATATTAGATAATCTTAGATATTAGGTAAGCATTTAGTAAAAGGCAATGCATTTCATACTTATTCATCACTTATTGCGAACACAATTCAAATGCAATATAAAACAAAAGTCAATACCTTATTCATCAACTCTTTAGCCCTGCTTTCAAACAAGTGCTCCAAACGCTGTGAGTCGACGGAAACGGTTTTGATTTCATCCCAAATGGTCTTCTTCTTCATTATGCGACTCAACAGCCATTTGTCGTCTTTTACTTCTTTCCAAAACAATTTGATTGTTTTCTTATTCTTTGGAATGAGCTTTGAATTCAACAGATCTGGTGAAGGAGTGGGCGAAGGGGTGTTTTGGTTGCGGTTCTGATTGTGCAGCCATTGGTGCGGAGGAGCCATACGAGGCAGTGGTGGCGGCGGTGGAGTCCCCGCACCCGAGCCGTTGGGCAGAGGAGGCGGTGGAGGCGTTCCGCACATGAGTGGAGGCGGCGGTGGAGGCAGAAGACAGTTGGCCTCCGGAGGCAATGGCGGCGGCGGTGTATTAGAGAGCGATGAGTGAGCGGTCGACTCGTAGACATCCGCGTCGTCGTCGTCTCTCAGGTCCGTGAAGTCCAAGTCATTGATGAGAAGCGGTCGTCGGGACAGAGAGTTCACCAATTGATCCCATTGTAGACATTGTAACTCTGGCTGACTCTTTGGATCGGATAGCGATTCTTTGGCACTTATTATTCTCTGAAGACTCCCATTGATAATGGGATCCGTAACGGGAGTTGTGTTCAACGGTTTCAACATTTTCTCTTTGATTGTGCGGACAACAGATTCCGAGGGTTTGCTGTGGTTTTCAAAGTTTTCACTATTAGTGTTACGATTCCAGGCATTAGTCGCCGGTTTATCGGTCACTAAATGTGTGGTCTCTTCGTTGGTCTTCGAGTACATCATTGATAACATCCACGCCTTCTTCTCATTAATGCTGTTTTGTTTAGTCAACACGTATTGTCCGTTCAGATGAGATGTCATATCACTTGTCTTAACACTATTTAAACTATCATTTCTGAGACACTGTCGGACATCACTTTCATTTCGCATTCCCGGCGAAGACTTATTGTCATCACAACTGGACGTAACAACACTTGCGTTCACATTATTATTGTTATTATTATTATTTAAGATCTTTTTGTTGAACTGTTCCGTCTGCTGAAGTACTTTCCTTTGCCACGAGGGCTGACTCGCACTGAATTTGTTGCCACCACTGATGAGCGGTGGCTTCGGAGGCCCTCCGCCTCCCGTTTGAGTGGTTGTCACTGAATGTCGTCTACTCTTTCGGCGGAGGTGTTGGTCGAGAGCGGCGCCACTCTTACGCCTGAGAACTATCCTCTGTTGGTCTGATGGCAGACCGCGTCCATCGTCTTCGCCGTCTTCGTGTCTGAGTACTGTCTCATAAGTGCGGAACTGTTGAAGTAAGTCGTGATCAGTTCCACGTTTGGACATATAGTGCTGAATGATTCTCTCCATCCCCTGGTCTTCAATGGCATCCGTAATGTCATAATATCTGTCCTGATCTGCCATTCCGTTCAACGTTTTGTTAATCAAAGTCATTGAGAGTATCAGTAATTCAATGTCCGCCGAATCCTTTTCGTTCAATATATTCATAACATTAGTCCACGGCTTCACACCTGAGGGCAGGGATGGCATAAGGGATGACAATTATAACGTATACATGAGATGTCAATCTAAATGCAATAATTGTATTGTCGACGAAGTAATACCTCTTTCGGAATCAACCGTTTCTATAGCTTTAACTAAAAGCAAACAATTGTCGTCCGAATACTCAACGAATACCAGAAGTAGTTTTAAAGTTGTCTTTACGACTAACCGATGCTATAATAGATATAACAATATTTATGACCAAAATTTATGACACTTTTCAAACAATTTGTGATATTAATAGTAAATGTGGTCAAAACAAGTGATTAAAACATAGACTTAAACGTAAGAGCAATACCTGGGAAGAGATGAGAGTATAGAACCATTGGATGGTTTCCTTGTGTTCAATGACAGCATTCATACCGTCGACGTAAAGCATTACTTGTCCTAAAGCTGTGTATAATATGATCGTAAAGAAAGGAGAAGATTATAACCATAAATATTATTAATACCCAAAGAATTGAGAGAATTGAAAGATTATGGAAATTATAACAAACAATAAATGTCTAATTGAGAGGACATTGCATTGAATAGAAAAGATGAGTTTCTTGACACAAGTGCCGGCAAAACAACTAACATATTGTTAAATCTATATATACTTTATAGTGAGTGAATCAAAAGTGGTAATCAAATAGTTATAGCAAAGGTATGCAAAAGTATGTGTTGTTATATATGTTATATTACCTTTCAATATGTAGTTTTGGTAATTGTGATCGGCATCGGAGCCCACTTTGATAAGACAGTTGAGTCCATCGTTGCGCACAAACTCGTCGACCAGATCTTTGTCGTCCTGACCACCAATAATATACATAAGTATTGACTTTCAATTGCAATCAAATCGACTCTCAATTGCTTTTGATGCCTACTTTTCTCTTATATAACAAAAACTCCTATACTATAACTCATAGCCACGTATTAAAACGATAGCCCCGACCATCTGAACATAGCATCTGAACAGAGCATCTAAAGTAGTTACTAAAAGTTGTGAGACTTGTGTTGAGAAAAGTTTGTGTTCATATGATCCGTGTGTAGACCGCAGGCGCATAAACCAATAGAATAACCCGTAGTATAAACCCATAGATATAATATAAACTCGAAAAAAACTCGTCGTAAAAGCAATAGTAAAAGCTTTGTTGCAATTGTTTTGTCGATTTGAAGGCAAAACCTAGGAATGCATACATTGAACGCATACCTGAAATACTTGTTTCACACAAAATAAATCTCTTCGCAACTCATAATGTGTATCAAAGATAGTAAATGTAAATAAATGATAGTAAGTGTACATATCAGAGAAAATATTTCTGCTGTCAATTCATCGATTTTCAATATCAAACATATTATTTGTCAGTAAAATATATTGTATAACTTTTATGAAATATTTCGGACCAATAAATATATCATTAACTATACGTAGACATCGATAACACTACTCATTAGACAAGAAATTTCAAATAATTATATATTAATTGATAAATAAAAATAACTTTTAATTTAATTAATTCTTTGGGAATTTTTCAAAATAAACAAAAATTACTGATTATATGAGTAGAATATTAATATATTTTATGGTATTTAATAAAACTTGAATTTTAATACATTTATTTGTTTATTTTGTTAAATATATCTCAGACTCAAAAACATATAACATGTAATGTAAGAAAATATTTTTGCGCCAAACGATCACTTCATTATAACCGGAGAATAGTGTACACTATATTATACACTGTATGTATAATGTATTGTGGATTGTCTATAAGGGCAAATACCCTTATGTGTGATTTTGATTTGATTTTGAATTTCACACAAAAGTGAGTTTGGTTTCACTCGAGATATCACATCCCAATTGAAGTGAACGACAAAATACAAAAATTTATTAGATTTTTATTTGTGAAAACTCTAGACAATTGATGATTGAAAAAAGCAATCAAAAACTATTGATTGCGTCTACAGATCACTGTTTAATTGAAATGTTAGTCGTTTCTAACCTTTATTATTTATTTCAAATTTACCACATTCTTCCCGACATTGAAGTAAAATATATCTTAAATTTTGATACAATTTATTCATTAATTTTAAACATTTTATATAAAAATATTTAATACTGTTATTAATTTAATGAAAAAAAGAAGATTTTTTATGTAAAATTAATGTAAAGAATTAATTAGTAAATAAATTAAATATAAACTCCAATCCTAAACACATGTGCGAGAAATTCCTGATGTAATAAATTTAATCAAATTCTGTCGGAATTTTAGATGTAATCGTTTTGAATGACATTTTGCGCTCTGAATATCATAACTCATAACTACTGTATTTATTCTTTAAACAAATTGTTAATAAATAAAATTTCTCATTGCATAATGCTAATCCAATGG